CGCAGGCCACGACGGGCGACGGGGGGCGACGCGCGGGTCCCCGTCGCCCGTCGCAACGCCTCCCGGGGGCGACGCGTCGAGTGACGGGGCAGAAGCCCGCCGCGCGCCTCGGGGCGCACAGCGGGCAGAGAACCGCCGCGCGCCACGGGGCGCACGGCGGGCAGAAAACCGCCGCGCGCCTCGGGGCGCACGGCGGGAAGAAAAAACTGCCGCACGCCACGGGGCGTGCGGCACATAGAGTAGCAGCGGAAGTTGCAGCGGAAGCAACGAGGTGGTGAGCCCACCCACAGGATCGATCCAAAGGGATCGACCTGCTCTGATAGCATGTCAAAATAGTAAAGATAGTTAGGAGCCATAGCTAGGAGAACCCTAGCTAGGCAAGAGAAGTTTAGGCAAAGAGGGGTTGCACTAGTAAGAATGGGGATACAAATAGCAAACCCTAGAAGGGTTGTACTCGCTATAGAGCACCCCACTACAGGCTAGAGCATAATATTCTGACAATTCATTGCAGGGGAGAATGGCAGGGTAAGGGAGTGCCTTATGCCATTCTTCTTCAGCCACAATCCAAACTCCTTGCTCAGGAACTCTCCCCCACGATCGGTGCGGATCGACTTCACAAGTCAATCTTGTTGCCGCTCCACCATCGGCAGCCAATCGGTTTTCAACGTTTCAGCTACGTCACTCTTCTTGGACAGCACATACACCCAAGTCATACGGGTGTAAATGTCAACAATGGTGAGGAAGTACTCAGCTCCAGCAGCTCCAAGCTTCAAGGGGCCCACCACGTCCATCACCACCTCATCAAGTGGTGCCTTAGCCGTTGCCTCCGAACTAGAGAACGGGAAACGGGTGAACTTGGCTTGCATGCACGTCGGGCAGCCAAGCACCTCATCGGGCTCCCCCTTCACACGTATGCCAGCAGCCCTCTGATTCTTCACTAGCTGCTGCAAGATAGGTAGGGCCACATGCCCCATTCGCCGATGCAAGGTGAGCCAATCACACTCCCCCATAGCTGAAGTCGGATTGGAGAATGCCGCGCTTGCAATAGCGCCCCACATACTCTCCATAGTCCCACATACTCTCTCCATAGTCCTCCTCCGCTGCTGCTCCTCGCCCTTGTGCTGCTCCTTGGCTGCTGCATCACTCTCCTTAGGATCACACAGCTTTCTGGTACCTCCAGGTTTGCTCTTCTTGAGCTCGTTCTCCTTAGCACGACCATTCGCGCCATCGCTGCTACCAACCGCTTCACCCTCAGAACTGACAATTGCTGCCACTTGCCTTTCCTTACGCATGAGGACCACAGGGATCTGCCACATCACGTTGTGGACATCCGTCCTTATGACGGTCCCAAAGAATCCGATCGCCAATCCTTGTTGTGTAGGTGTTGGCTCCCTTCGAATTTGTGACTATGCCGTCCTTTGCCAACCGCCGCACGGAAATCAGGTTCGCAGCAAGGCTGGGCACCCAAAGCACGTTCTTGAGGCCCACCATCTTCCCATCAGCACCCTTGAACATGGCCTTGCCCATGCCTTTCACCTCTGCTCGCTGCCCCAAAGTCGAGGTGACATGCTTCATCAATGACGGCTCGAGTTCGGTAAGCAAGTCGGGGCGAGGTGTCATGCTATAGGTAGCGCCGCTATCGATCACCCAATAGTCCAGGGGGTGTAAAGCGACCTTTCCCACAGCTTCTGGCTCCTCAAATCCACCATCCTTCTCTGGACCAGCCGGTACTTGCGTCGACACGAAGTAGAATTGACCCGAGTAGCGATCGTCGCTCAAGTCGTTGTCTTTATCTCCACTCTTCATGTTCGCGGCTCCACCTCCGTGATCGCCACGGCCTCCACGGCCTCTTCCTCTGCCTCCTCCTGCTCCTCTACCCTCTTGGCCTTGAGCAGGGGTCCAACCTTCAGGAAGCTTAAAGCAATCGCGCCACATGTGTCCGCTCTTGTGACAAAAATGGCACTCGCCATCGACATGCGTCCGTAGCTCTTATCGTCGCTGCCGTAACCGCCACTTCCGCGGCATCCACTGAAGTTGCTGCCTCCAAACCTTCCTCCCTCTCGTCATCTGCCTCTTCCTCGGCCATATCCACGGCCGATGCTCGCTGCCCCAGCGCCATCCGCACTCGCCAACTCACGGCGGCGGAAGTCCTCTTGTAGGATCGCTCGCTTCACGTCTTCAAGCGAGAGGCGGGGCAAGTCGCGATTGATGTTGATGATGGGCGAGGACCACGTTTCTAGGAGTAAGGCCAGCAACTTGGTCTTCTTCTGGAGCTCACTGTAGTTCAAATCAGCTCCCTCAAGCCGCGTCAACAAGTCGAAGAATTTCTGCACCCCTTCTTCCACGGGTTCATCTTCTTCAATTCGTAGTGTCGCCATTTGCCGTTCCAACACCACAGCTACCGCCGCTGTTGCAGGAGCGTGTACACCCTTGAGAGCAGCCCATGCCTTTGGTCCCTTCTCTGGATCACGCTGGAAAGGCTTGATGTGACGGATTTGACTGCTCCCCAACGCTTGCCCAAGTAGGAGATAGCCTTGTGCGCTCTTCCGCACCCACGGGCTCTTCTCCGGGTCGTTCTCGGGACGCTTCTCTGTTCCTTCCATCACCTCCAACAAGTCATTGTAGTCAAACACATTCTCCATTCTGAATAACCATTCAGCAAAGTTGTCGCCGTTGAACTTTTCAAGCCCGAACACTCTTGGCTCATCCCTAGAAGCTCCAAGAGTTGGTTGCACGGGCGCCACGGCTGACTCACGGGCTTGGCCTTGTGCTTGGGCTTCTCCACTGCCACCAGCACCTCTGCCACCCCTTTCCTCAGGTCCAGCCATCATCGTAGCTGCTCCAATGCACTCTGAAACCACTTGTTACAGTCACAATAGGCTTCAATGTGCCTAAAACGGGAGATAGAGTGCACAATCGAATTTCCGCACAGCGGCTTCAAACGTTCATAGCAATCTAGACACGAATCCAAATGACCTCAGTCAACTTGGATCTGGAGCGTCATAACGTGGCCTACAACAGGCAATTTAGATCGCACGATTTCATTAAGAATTGACGACACAGCGTCAGTTTGAACGAACGGCACTATGGCAGCAACACAACTTCTTAAGCATTACAAGCATGCAGATTGATAGCTCAAACTAGGCTGCTAGACAATGTAACTTTCTTGGGAACTTGGGCACAATTCAGCTGCATGGACCTTGAGTGGCTTTGAGAGCCACATGAGGGGCATGAATAAGAAATCTCTGGAATTTGCTGTTATAGCTGATTCTGTTTTGTAGAAACCTGTAGAAACTGTCGACACTCCTGTTTGAGAGCAATCCCGAGCTGTATCGAGACTTGAGCTGCAATATGATTGGTTGCGGAAGTTTCTGAATATTTCGCGAAGCTTGACGGGAATTGATCAGACTGGGGCCCCGGGTTAGCAGAAACAGTGCCAACTTGGGGCCTCGTGAGTCGCGACCCTACGAAATAGGCCCGAAGCAAATCGCAAGCCTGGGCAGCAGGTCCGAACCTGGCAAACAGGCCAGGTCACCACCTATTGCCTTGGGTTTGACGGAAGTCGCTAGCACCCCACACCGCTGGAAGCACAACAATCCGTCAAACCAACACGAAGTGTTTCTGCTTTTGAACCTTCGCCAAACCATGGTGTTTTCGCTAAGAGCAATTCGCACATCGAGAGTTTGACTTATGAGACCTCCCTCACAACCCTAAAACTGTCACGCTTTAGTGTCTGCTTCTGCTTCTTGCTGGAGAATAAGAACGTCACATTCTAGTCTAAGGTGAGCTCAGATCCTATGAATCGATGTATTCGCGACGGTTTCCTCCTTTCTTAGATTATTTAGTTAGTATATCCATAAGTGGGCTTCATGTCATACCGCCTCAATGCTCTTGCGAAATCGATCATTCTTCTGCCCATGATTAGTTCTTCATGTGTCACGTGGCATTAATAGTACTGTAATTCCTTATCATTTGTTTCTAGACCATTCTACAAACGACGACACAGTCCGAAGTTCCCCAACTCCTCTTTCTTTCCTTTGTTTTTTTTGTTTGGTTCATTGTTCAGTCCTTTTTTTTCTCTTCTTCATAAAACAGGTCAAGATGAACAACTCCTCGGTTGCTTTGGACTTCCCTGTGGGGAAGCGGTATGCTTCATCGGAAGATGCGAATCATGACATAAGGTCGCAATGCGGGGCGACAAGGTGCGCTTTCAAGTTCGTTGCAAACAAACCTCATAGGGTGGAGGCACGGTGTCCATATTTTGCGTTTAGGAAGAAAGGAAGGGCTGCTGTCAGTAATAAACTGGAAACGGAAGAGCCTTGCCCTTTCATGATCAGTGTTAGGTTGTGTATAGATGGCTCGCTTCGAGTTGTCACGGCAAACCTGCAACATGGTGCGTACTGCACGGTACGCCCCAAAGGAGCTTCACGAGCAGATCTAACTGATTTCGCAAATACTATTCCCAATGTGGCCTTAGATCCTAAAACGTTGGTCAAGGAAGTCCAGCAACGTACGAGTCAGAGGTCGTCCTACACGACTTCACGAAGAGCAACACACGACATCAAAATGGCGGACCCTCAGCAGAATGATACTTCATTTCAGTATGTGAGGAGTATTCTTGAGGTTTTTGTGCGAGACAATCCTGGAAGTATTGTGTCGCTATCCAAGCGCGATGGTCGTTTCTACAGTGCATGCGCTATCCCGAGTGTAGCCCGTTCAACAATATTGAACGCCATGCCGATACTAATCATCGACGGGTGCCACAACAAAACGGTGTGGGGGGGTCAGACGATTAACCTTGTTGTTTTGGATGGTGACGGTCACTATGTTTCAGTTGGAATTGCGTTCGTCGAGTCCGAGAGCAATGAGAGTTGCGCCCTTCCAATTCGGCAGCTTTTGAAGGTGTTTCCCGAGCTCAATTCCCCGGAGTGGGTCATAAAGCATGACCGTGGTTCTGGCTGGAGTTCGTGTGCAGAGTTGCTTCAGCATGCACACGAGTCTCACTGCATTACCCACATTGGGCGAAACTTCACCAAGAAATTTGAGAAGGAGACATTGGCAGCAGCAAGAGCAGTGGCAGCAGCAAGGACAACTGCAACAGCAGCAAGGGATTGGGCAGCAGCAAGGGACTGGGCAGCAGGGAGGGAATAGGCAGCAAGGGACTGGGCAGCAGCAAGGGACTGGGCAGCAGCATGGGACAGGGTGGCATGAAGGGAGTGAGCAGCAGCAAGGGGCTGGGCAGCAGCAACGGATTGGGCAGCAGCAAGATATTGGGCAGCAGCAACGGATTGGCCAGCAGGGAGGGAATAGGCAGCAAGGGACTGGGCAGCAGCAAGGGACTGGGTGGCATGAAGGGAGTGAGCAGCAGCAAGGGATTTGGCAGCAAGGGACTTGGCAGCAAGGGGCTGAACAGCAGCAACGGATTGGGCAGCAGCAACGGATTGGGCAGCAGCAACGGATTGGGCAGCAGGGAGGGAGGAGGCAGCAAGGGGCTCGGCAGATGCAAGATTTTCGCCAGCAGCAAGGGACTGGGCCGCAGCAAGGGACTGGGCAGCAGCTAGGGATTGGGCGACAGCAAAACCGAGGTCAGCAGGATGGGATTGGGCGACAGGAAAGGACTGGGCAACACCTAGGGAGTGGGCAGCAGCAAGGGACTGGGCAGCAACAATGGACTGGGCAGCAGCAATCGACTGGCCAGCAGCAAGGGACCGGGCAGCATCAAGGGACTGGGCAGCAGCATGGGACTGGGTGGCATGAAGGGAGTGAGCAGCAGCAAGGGGCTGGGCAGCAGCAACGGATTGGGCAGCAGCAAGATATTGGGCAGCAGCAACGGACTGGCCAGCAGGGAGGGAATAGGCAGCAAGGGACTGGGCAGCAGCAAGGGACTGGGCGACAGCAAAACCAAGGTCAGCAGGATGGGATTGGGCGACAGGAAAGGACTGGGCAGCAGCTAGGGACTGGGCAGCAGCAATGGATTGGGCGGCAGGGAGGGATTAGGCACCAAGGGACTCAGCAGCTGCAAGATTCTTGGCAGCAGCAAGGGACTGGGCAGCAAGAAGGGCACAGGCAGCATCGAGGAGATGGGCACCATCAGGGCCAAGGGGAGCGGCAGTTGGACGGGGAGGAGGAAGAGGATAGGCCCCATGAAGGGGATGAGCGGCAGCAAATGCAACCGGATGGACTGAGGCATCAACAATCTCAACGGAGTGGGCGGCGGGCATCTGGGCGACGTACCAGGGTTCAGAGGCAGGAGCAACGCTTAAACATTGAGCACGTTTGGGAGCATTGGGAAGGGGGCCCGCGCATACAACAGGACGAGATGCAAGGTTGGAACAGGCAGTTGAGACACGGGCATCTTGTGGAACAGCAACCGCATGTAGAAGTGCAGGGGCAACAGAGGCACATACAAGTTCAGGAGCCTCATAGGGAAGGCCAGTTTCAAGAGCCTCAGCGGCATGGGCATGTTGAGCAGCCTCAAAGAGAAGGCCATGTACGGCAGCAGGGTCAGCGAGCACCGGGACAACGTGGAAATACACCGCCACATGAGTGGATTGTACACATTAGAGATCTTCCAGAGGGCGCGGATGTGGACAGTGATTCATCATTCTCAGAGGACCTTGAGGCTGAAGATGAGATTACGGCTGATGACACTTCCGATAGCGGGAATTCTGATGACGGGGGGGATAGCACTTCAGGCGGGTCGGAGACAGGAACTGAAGACCAGCTTAGGACTGAAGAGCAGACCATTGGTGATGGGGTTTGGGAAGTTATGTCTTTGGGTGAGCCGGCAATACAGCTTGAAAGATGGCAGCAGAGTGTGAATCTAGAACAGAATGGCGGTGGAGAGGCTACTGTGGATGGAGAAGAAGGGATGAGCATATTAGGTGAAGAAATGATGGGAATTGAGAGGTCGGGTGGTATCATGTCGGCAAGGGCAGATGTAGGCTTAAGGGTTACTGGCTTGAACACCGCAGCAATGCAGCAGGGAATAGATGTTTCCAATCTCTTAGAGGGAGATGTGGTGGCACAAAACTGGGGTCATTTAAGGGTTAGAGGCCAATATCTGACACAAGAGGATGCGGTGGCAGCACGTCGTGTAAGAAGACGCCAACGACTACGATTGCAAACGGAAGTGGTACCCGAGGACGGTGAGGAGCCGGATGATGATGAACTTAATGGAGCTGAACAGTTGACACGTTCGCGAGGGGCTCGTCGTGGTAGGGGTCGGTGAGGCACCGAAATCAGAGCACAACAAACAGCACTTCAAGGGTCTAAGGTTCGCGGTACTGGACGAGGGCGCATGCAACAAAGGGTGCAGATTCGGCAGGGGGAGTCGACAATTCACCACGAGAAACCCAACAGAAACCTCTGATTTGCAGCAGCAGATACACGTTCTACAAATGCAATTACTCCAGCAACAACATGTTCAGAGCATCTGGTGGCAGCAAATACAACAACAGCAACGCATGGCTACTTCGGGTGCAACGGCAACACATGTGCATCAAGCATATGAACTCCCGTTTCCTAGTTCATTTCAGGGTCAACAACTGAGGACAGACCAAATTCATCCCCTAGTGCATCCAATGCAACACCACGCCATGGCTAACCAAGCCCCATTTCAGTTTGTGTCCGTCCCTGATAAAGAACGAGCCAATGTTTTAATGGGACAGCGTTTCCGACGCCAAGAAAGACGGCACCTCCTGCAACTCAGCTGAGCAAGAAGACGGGATGATGTAGATCCGGTCTGAGTGAGGAAGAGATAGACATTTTACCCCGGCATAAGCACTGCTATAGGTGAGAGTGTGCGTGATTATGCTGGAAGGGTCTGAAAGGATTTGGATGGTATGTTTCAAGTGGAGGACGCGGGAGGATGGGGGAGGCAGAGGGGGGGAAAGGGTAGGGGGGTGGTGGGGGTGGGGGTGTTGGGGTTGGAGGTGTATTTTTTTTCAAGCTCATGTTTGTGCGAGCATGCATTTTTAGTGTTTTTTATTTTTTTTTTCAAGCAGAGGGAGCGCGTGTGTTGGTCGCAGCTTGTTTTTACCCCAAGTTTCTAGATTCCTTGTTGTTGCTTTTTTTTTTCCCATAGGCACGGAGAGGGATGTGCCGGCAACAGGGAGCGCGCGTGCAGGGCGCAGCAAGGGGAGGGAGAAGAGGGAAGGTGGACGTGACAATGTGAAGCATGAAGAGGGGAGGGCAGAAGACAATGTTCCGTCTCGCCCCCTCCTCACCCCTCCCGTCCTGCTTTTTCCTTTTCGCAGACATTTAACTCGGAGCTCCAAACTATAGAGAGCATGGTGGCCTCTGTGGCGGCTGCGTCTGGACCTGATTTAAATTATCCCCCTCTCTTCTCTTCTCTTTGCTCGCAGTCATTTGACTCGGAGCTCCAAACTTTAGAGACCATGGCTGCCTCTGTGGCGGATGAGATAGAATTTTTCCACGAGAGGTGAGAGGCAGCAACTCTAAACCCTAAAACCCCTCATGATTATCGTTGCGCTGCGGCGCTGCTTCATACCCCGCCGAGAGGTGAGAGGCAACCTCCGCTTTACCATGCTAGTGATATATAACCTGCGTGTGATGCGTCGATGTTCTTGTCAACTCACAAATTGTCGTAGCGGCCGATTGTCTTACGGTATCACCATCTTGGTGATATGTTACTGCCAGCTTGCTGTATCCAGTGGTCAACGCGTCAGCCTTGCTTTGCCCTACTCTTCCTCTTTACTTCACTTGACCTGCTTCCGTTGCCATAATTTGTATTGCAGGGAATCGGAGCTGCGGCAAATTGTCAGCGCGACGCACTTGAGACTGGCGTGCACGAGTCTCACTCCTCGGCTCGCCTGCATTTCCCTGACAGCCAAGCCATGCCAACACTGTCATAGACACCCTATATTCACATCAAACCCACGACCCTTTATTGTCATTCGAATCGCAGGGAGCTGGAGTTGCAGCGAGGGGTCAATGCAACACACTTGAGAGTGACGTGCACGAGTCTCGCTTCTTTCCTCTTCTGCATCTGCAATAATTGTGCCAGAACCTGTCTATCCTTCCTCCCTTACTGTCTTGTGAATCGCAAGGAGTTGAAGCGAGTGGTCAATGCAATACACGTTAGAATAACGTGCATGAGTCTCTCTTCTCTCCTTGTCTGCATCTCCTTGACAGCCCTTCAGTTCTGGCACCTCATATCCTTATTTAACAACATAAAACTCTTGTAACCCGCACCTGCTATCAGCGATACAATAACGAAACGCGTGGTGTTTTTTTCATGTGCCTATGTTGCTGAGCCTTGGTACAGAAACTCTGACTACACATGTCTCCAGTGTGAAGAGTACTACGTGTATGAATTAACAAACTAATTGCATTGCTCCACTACACAAATTGCTCAATAAAATAAGAGACAGGGGATATAAAAAAACACGATATTAGGACAGTTATAGGACAATTTCATGGCTGGTTCTACAGAAACCCTATAGACCTTTTGTGCATTGACCAGCCACCCTACTACTGCTGAAGAGTAGCAGCAAGGCCAGCAGTAGCCTGCTGCAACAGCCTCGCTGGCTGGAAAAATTGGTAAGGCTGGCTCCACCGTTTCAGCAGTCATCTCACCCTTGCCGTTGCCATTCTCCTCGTGTCCTTCTCACTGGAACTAGCCTGGGCAGTCTCCTTGTCACCGGCCTGACCTGGCACATCATTGGCCTGAGCTGGTAGCGGTTATTTCACGGGTGAAGGCATGGACCACGGCACCGAATCCTTTTTCTCTTGCATTGCGGTGATTTTTAAGGTGCCCAATAAATCACATCAACAGTCATATCACGGGCAAAGGCATGGACCATGGCACTGAATCCTCTTTCGCTTCCATTCTGCCAACTCTGTCTTCCATGCCCTCACGAGTTCCCTTAATCATTTGCATCAAAGATTTTTAAGCGAAGCATTTGCATGTAAATCATCTATGTATGTATACATGTCCTGACAGATGTTCTGTGTTCTGGCAATCTTATGTTTGCAACAATTCCGAGTTGTTTGTTTCATGCTGCTTGTGTTGTATCTCGATCAGTGTAAGGAATTACAATTCCTTACTGTACTCGCACTTTAGCGAGTACATTTCGAAGGTGTCGCGACGAACCTGTTCGGCCTATTTCGTCGCACCGAACCACCCCCGAGTCGGCCTCCGCTCCAATCGTAGCCATCACCGAGCCATCCCATCCCGAACCCCCCGCCTAGCTAGGTTTTCCCCTATTTAGTTGTGCCTTTCTCATTGTATCGTGATTCTGTAGTTCAACATTCTCGTTATTCGATATCTGCGCACTCTGACAAGTTCATTCATAACACCTGGTATCAGAGCTACTTTCCTAGCCTACCCCGCTTTTTAGAGTGTATTACCCCTCGGGGGGGGGTGTCAAATGTTATAGCCTATAGTGAGGTTTGTCTTAGGGGGTACAAAACTTAGGGTTAGCTATATGTACCCCAACCAACATCAATGCATCATTCATTCCTCATTCAATGCCTCCTCCCTGAGTCTGAGGAGGTTCACTTCACTCAGGTTCGCACCGCTGCTGAGTACCTCACTGCGATTAAGGCCCGCTACTCTTCTCCCGCTGCTGTCTCTCTTGGCCGCCTGTTCCTCCCGTTCCTTTTTCCTGACCTAGCGTCTTTTGAGCGCTCTGCTGACTTGATCGCTCACCTCCGCTCGCTCGACGCTAGTTACCGCGCTGCTTGCACTGAGGCACAGCTTGCACTGCTTCCTCCCCCTATGGCGATTACTATCTATTTCATCGCCACTAGCCTCCCTGACCGCCTTGCCTCCGTTCGCGATGCGCTTCTGCTGAAGCACCCTAGTGAGCTCACCGTCGATGTCCTTGAGTCTGCACTCAAGGACGTCGAGAGCAACCTTCGCTCGGTAGCCGCTGCCTCTGGTGCTGTGCCCCCCCCACTCTTCCACGGGTGCACAGTCCCGCAGTTACCCACCTTTACTGCCTCACTTGCCACTGCCGCTACTGACGCGACTGCAGCTGCTGTTACGACTGCGTCGCGGTCCCGCGGTAGGAGTGGCAAGAAAGGCGGTTCTGGTGGTGGTAGTGGAGGTGGAGGCGGAGGTAGTGGAGGTGGCGTTGCGCCTGGCAGCGGTGGAGGTTCAGGGCCTGGAGAGGCGCCTCGTGCAGTGACTGGTGACTCCACTGCGCCTGCTGGTGGTGGCGACGCCCGAGTTCGTCAGTCGCCTCCTGTACTTCCTGCCCCGGTTGGTGGAGCAGCGGCGTGGTACCAGGCTCAGCGTCAGCAGCAGCTTCTGCAGCACCAGCAGCCCCTCTCCTCCCAGCAGCCTCCGCAGCAGCAGCGGCAGCAGCTGGCTCCAGGGTCGGGGCTGCGTCAGACCCAGCGCGGTGCTGCTTACACTCCCTGCACCTACCAGGTTCTGACAGGCACTCGTCGTGGCCACCCTTGTGGCCGGTTTCACCCCCCTGGTCAGTGCTTTGCTCAGCTCACTGACACGGTTCGTTTGGTCTACGGGGTTGGTGCTCCTGCCCCTGACTGGCTGCCTCTTGTTCAGCGCTACGACTTCGTTCTGTGGGGCATGTCTGCTGAGCAGTTAGTTGATCTGATTGGTACTCCCCATGCTATGTATGCTGTTGTTGACTCTAGTGTTTCTGACTCTGCTTACTCTGGTGTTGTTAGCTTAGGTGCTAGCCTTGCTCAGTTGCCTGTTGCTAGTGTAGGTTCTTGTGTAGACTCTAGTCCAGCGGCTACCTCAGAGGACG